AAAATGTTTTTTTGCGGCTAAAAGGTACGAAGTACCACGGCAAGGGGTTACGCCTGGTCATTAGTTAAACGACCTCAAGGAGAAGCCAGAAAAAACGCATTCGGCCATCCCTGTGGACCCACCCCAAAACAATATTCAAATTGTGATTTATTTGCGAAAATTCCTCAAGTGAGATTTGCACCCAGGATTAGGTATCCGCCCCGGGCGACGTTTGTCTGAGGCCAGAAATTATAATAATGCGCACAATGTAATGAAATGTTGTTTGCCCGACCAACTGTCATGGCTCAAGTCGGTGCCTGTGGCCCGGTTGCCGAATGGCCATGAAAATGACACTGCCAGGGCATTAAATTCCCCTAAAATGTGGTAAAACTAAACGAAAATGCGCCAGTGCTCGTTGCGATGCGGCTGCTTTTGGGGATGTCTGGGAAATCACTTGACTCGCACAGCACTTTCTTCACCGGCCACGTCAGAGTGGTTATTGTGGCCAATGCCTGATGCCTGATGCCTGCTGCCTGTTGCCAGTTGCCAGTTTGCCAGTTGCAAGTTGCCTGCTTGCCTGTTGCGGCCAGCCAGGTTGATTGATGAGCAGACGCCGACTTCTCCAGCGGCAAACGTCGATGCCTCTGCCGGGCCATCTTGATTGGCATTTAACATCGCTGTGAACTTTGCATTGCCATTCATACGAGACTCCTTGATCTGTCCTCGGATTTCACCGCAAATATTCGCTGCCCAATTCCCGAATCGCTGAGGAGGAGTGTCCTCGGCTTGCACCCGTAATTGAGTGTTATGTGGCAAATTAAATTTCACGGGAGATGTATTTATTAACTGACAGGGTCAGGACCACACGGAAAGAAACAACAAACAAGACTTAATTTATGGAGCTATTTACAATCTAATCACTTCTACCCACGCTGAATGAAAAACCATTTAATGATAAAACAAGTTATGCGGAAGAAAACATTTTTTATTTAGAAGTCCATAAGGAAAAATCAAGACCTAGGATGAAATTGATTTGCCACAAACAGCTATTTATAAACCTAACAATTTCGCGACCACACTGTAAAATTTGGGAACAAATTCAATTATTCTGCGGTTGAATTACCAAGCAGCTTTCTTTATAAAGTGACAGGTCAAAGTCTACACAGAAAGAAACTAGAAGTGGTATCGCATTTATGGGCAACAACTATTGATTAAAAGGAGACCCTAAAACATTTGCTTTAAATTTATACGGATCTTTTCAGTTTATGATACTTTAAAAACACTTAGCTTTAGAATTTAAAATACCGACACTCCCACTGATGGTCAAAATGGATTCAATTGAAATTTCTCAAGCGTTTTCCTTTTTCTTCAGTGGGCCAAAAATATGTTTTAACGACGACAGGCCCACGCCTCGGGATTTAGGGGATAATTTCACCGGCAGAGCGTTTTCCAAAACAAAAATAAATGCGGCACGTCAAGTGAGTTCCTTGTTCCTCCCGCAGGGCAAATGAAATTGAAATTTGCCACAGTACTCGTATATTTTTTCCGCCTGCTAAATAGATTTGCCAGCGAAATATTATACGTAAAATTGAATTGACTCCGCCGAGTTCGCCTTCGCTGAGGGCAAGTGAAAATGGTATTCGTAGGGCCGAAAAACAAACAGACAGACGTATAATTTAAGGAAAGAGCCCGAGACGAGCGTATAATAAATTCATCAAGACAGCAGGCAGTCATTCAGTCAGTCAGTCAGTCGGTCCGATCGGATCCGATAGTCACGGTCCGGCTTTCCACGCTGCGGTGCAGTTCATCAGTTGTCGGGGGTCAGAGTGAAACGTAATTGGCCCGCGGCACTTAATTTGATTGAGGAGAGGAGGTGGGAGTTGCGAGTTGCACGTTGCGACTCCACCATGGCAACCTGTGCCCACATCGACCAGTCTCCGCGGATCTCAGGCTTGGTTAGTTTTCTTGGCGGGGGCGAGCCTCGATGTCAACGCGGAGTGAAAGTGAAAAGCTCGCCAGCGGAGGAAAAACCAAAACAAAACAGGAATTTTCTTTCTTTTTATGCAATTGTTCGGCGGCGAAAAGGTTCCCAGCCAAATGGCCACAGAATTGTGTATTCTGCCTTGCCGAGTTTGAGTCGAACGCGCAGACAAAGGCCGAATAAATCGACTTCTCTGGGGGAAACGTTTCATGCCGATCTTGGCCAAGTTCGTTACCGAAGTTGTTTGAATCTGCACTTGAAGAAAGATACAAAACAGAGATCGTACTTAGCAAAACACAGTATAAATTTCATTTTCATGGAGTTGCTATTATCAGCTCATTAATAAAGAATGTGCTTTTAAAAATTACACGCAGTTTCCATGTTTGAATTTTGCTAAGCTTAAGTAATTTTTATTAGCTCTAATCTTATAAATTAATGTACATTAAGGTACATACATGAAGGAAAATATTAATAAATTATACTATAATAATTGGATTGTAATGTGTGAAGCATAAGGTAAAAGAAGAGGTTTATGTTTGTATTCTAAACATAAAGGATGATAATAAAACTGAATGGGATTAATTAAGCAGAGTTTTTGTATTTACCACAAAGTTGAATTGTTGTTCAAGAAAATGTTTTCATTGTGGTGGCATTTTCTCCAGTGCAAGCGCCACAATTGCCTTCGATCACTAAGCGTTCGGTTGTTTGCTCTCTGTTAACACAAAATGCCAATTACTGCAAATTGTGGGCTGCTGCATCTGGCGCTACCGCCAACTGTTAGCCCGGTGTTTTTGGCCCATTAGCAGAGGATGGTTCGTCGAAAGTCGGGATTGCGTGTGAGCCATACGTAGATTATCATAAATTATCGCCGGCGGATTATGCGCGACTAGTGTCTCTGCATTTTAATTCACGTTCGCAGGGTGCCGTGTGTGTCCTCCGGCTGGCTATGTAGAACAAGTCAAAACTTATGCTGAGATATGCACTTTCCCGCTAGAAAAGAAAAACACTTTTCGTGTCCGACTATGCGCGGCGTGTTTCGGAGCGATAAAATTGCAAATCCCATCATTAGATGTTCGTCAGCCCGGCTTTTCTAATTAATATTTCATAAATTAGAAGCGCCAAGCATAAATTATACATGAGTCGCCTAGTATGTGTTGCTTCGTCTGTTGTTTCAGTAGCTACACTTTGCGAAAATCACGGTGAAAACTTTCACCTTCCTCGGGTAGCCTAAAAGTCTGCTTAACAATTTCTCAGCTGCCTGTCTAAAAAGATACCTTACTTTCGTGGAATAACAATAAACTTTTTGCTGCCGACCTGCTTGCGGTGCTGAATCTCCAATCGGTCTTCATTTTTTACCCATCCACTCAAAAATGGTTTGACTACGTGCCAAGCAAATAGGATTAAAATCATAACGCACAAGCCCCAAATGAAAAAAGCTAGAGTGGTAGTTGATACAAAAATCCAATTAAGCCCTATTTGCATATGGATGGTGTGTACTGGCTGTAGGCAAAAACATAACATCTTTTCATATTGAATTTGCTTGTGTGTAGAAAGGTCAGAATGCGGTTGACAACAAGGGTCAGCTAGATTAAAACTGTTGCATTCGTAAATAAATATTGTACGACCTCCTTAGGATAAAAAACTTGTTGACCTCATTTTAGCAAAAACAGAATGTATTTTTTTGCCAATATATCAACTTAGGGTAAGTAAGTAAGCAACATTGAAGCTTTGAAATTCGTAAATAAATATTTTGAAAAGTATTCAGTGTTAAAAACGTTTTAAGTTAACATACTTATTAAGCAACAGTTTCTAAATATGCTTTCTGCGAAACTACCTCTAGTTTCAAAAAAAAAAAAAAAAATATAAAAATTACAGCAGCAGAACCGCACACCTTAATTTATGCTTTAAAATAAATAACCAAGGAAATTTGGCGTAATTTATACTATCCCCACGGCACACTAATTTCATGCTTTCTTCTCGCAATTCACTAAGCCGGGCTACATGCGTTAACTCCGATTCGTTGCAGGATAATTCGCGGCTTCCACTTTCATTAACTTTCTGCTTTCCTGCTGCTGGCGACACATCTCGTGGTGGTTCTATAATTTTCCACCCAATCAGCATTCATTTCGGTTTCGCAGCGCTCGCCTAATAAATATGTAAGGCCAAATCTTCGCGTGTGCAATCGAAAGCCAAAGATGGGAGAAGATCTCGGCTCTCGCCTCGGTTTCACAGTTTGCCGATGAAAGTGGGCGTCGGAGGCGGTGGAGAAAAATCATTAGGCCGGGCCACCGATATAAAGACTCTAATAATTGCCCAGATCTGATAATTACGGCAAATCGGCCCCTACAGCCAGCCTGCCGATTGCACTAAATCTGCAGCGAAGCTTTGCTTTAGTGCCTGGTTTACAGGCAGTTTGCCGGCTGCCAACCGCACTTATCATGCATACTACGCTCTGAATAGCCACACCATCTATTGCTGCACTCGGGAAAAAACATACAATAGAATACAATAGAAAAAAAGCTTTTATTATTAAATGAATACAAGTAAATTAGCAATATGCAGACATATTTCAGAAAAGTGATTGTAAGGGCAATTACAGAATATTCGTCGCTCAAAGATGAAAACATTTTTTTTATTGATTGACTTTATAGTTCAAAAAGTTTTTTTTAAGTTGTATTTACCAATTGTTTATTTTCAAGATATATGTTTATTATTTTACAACAACTATAATTTATTTTATAAGTTGAAGAAAACTTAACTTAACTATTGAAAAATAAGAGATCAACAGGATGTTCTCCTAAATCCCAATATTTCATTATTTATTTTACTATCAAACTCCTTTTCCAGTGCACTAATGCTGGCAGCAAAAGCAAAGCTGGCTGCAACGGCTGCCTGGCTAATTGTGGCAAGGTGAAGTGTATAAATTTGGCGGACAAGCTGGCGCACAAGATCAGTTGGCCAAGAGATACTCCAGCAGGCGCAGCCAGACGGAGTAGAGAGAACTACAAGTTAGATCACAAGGATTGGGAATACGCTGTAAATGGATATGCGCCTGGGTCTGCTCATCGCCCTGTGGCTGGCGGCCTTTCAGGCCTGGGCTCTGGAGGCGCCACCAAGTGTTAACTCCACGGAGAGCGGACTGCTGCGGACAGTGCGGCATGTTTACGGACAATGTGCGGACAGCGAGGACATCTTCTGGTGCTGCAAGGTGCAGGGAGTTCGCCTCTTGGGACGTGCTCTTAAAGTCCAACAGCTGGGGATTGTGGATGGAGTGAGCCTTGTGCGACGGGAATCATTCGGCCAGGATACGCGGAGTGGTCGCTCCAGCTTGGTGGAGAGTCAGCTGAGCAACCGGGATCTGGAGCATATGTCCGGAAAGAGCTTGGATTCCCTGCTGCTGGATCGCTTCCTCAACTTCCTGCACAGCCACCAGCTGCAGGTTAATCTGCCGCGTTTGCTGCGGTTTGGCGAGCTGAATGGCCAGAATTGGCTGCAGCACTTGATAAACTACTTTTGGCCGACCAGCGAAAGTGAGGGCCGCAAGAAGAAGGAGGACAAAAAGTACCTGGGACCGTTCATCGCCGCCGTCCTGCTGAAGACCGCCATTCTGAAGATGGCCTACCACTCGATCGCCATTGTGGCGGGCAAGGCGCTGATCGTGGGCAAGATAGCCCTGATCATTAGCGCGATTATTGGCCTGAGGCGGCTGGTGGCCCACGACAGCAGCGAGAAGACCACCTACGAGATCGTGAAGCATCCGCAGGTGCAGCAGAGCCACACCTACTCGTCCAGCCACCAGGGAGAGTACGACACGGGCGGCCACGACAGTGGATCCTACCACCGCAGCATCGACGACGAGATGATGATGCAGGACAAGGCCTACCAGGCCTGGATGCCCCACGCGGGCGCCACCGCCTCCTCGCCCCTCGCCGTCAAGGGGTCGCGGTAAGGGAGTCGCCGATGGCCTTCAGGGGTCGCCAGCCCCCACACCAAAGATCCCCACAAGCCCCGCTTAGTCCAATCTATATGAAATTGTATTTACACTCGACAGCCCTCCAGTTTAAGTTTAGTTATCGTAGTTATTATGTTACCACAGAGCGAGCATTAAAAAGAATCGAATTTCATCGTGCAGCTTGTCTTATTGTCAAAAAATTATATTTCATTAGATTTTATTTATTTTGAAAGATTATTCCGGAAATTTCGGTGTTTATCCTGCAGAGTGTTCAACATTTCTCAGAGTTTAAAGAGGAATTCTGAACACAGTTACTCTTTAATTGAGCGTAAATAGACTTTTATGTAGTGGTTGATTGAACTATTCAGAAAAAGATGTGTAACTTCAAAAAAAAAATCACAATAGTCACAGTGACAGTTTAAAGTGTTTCAAGCGGTTTTCTGTTTATGGTTTAAATAATTTTTGAGACAAATTCGGGTTTTATTTACTCCGAAATGGTAATCATGAAAGGTAATCATGAAATTACAATGATCATGAGTGAATAAACTTAATTTTATAATTAATTGAATGACATATTTTTCTAATAATTCAGCTGGTATCTTTCTCAGAGTTTAATGAACAAAAATGTTCTTACAATAGAGAATAAAAAGATATATTTAGTGTCAATTATTTAATATATTGAAATAAAAAAACATATTTCATATTTAATATCACAATATTAGGTATAAAGTGTTCAACGAATTTCTCAGTTAGTTGGGTATAGTTTAATTATTTTTTGAAACAAATATGCCTTTTATGTAGGCTAAAAACAGTGATCAAGTATGTTTAAAATAACCCCTAGTTTTTTGGCTTTATTTATTTTACAAGTGTTCGAACACAATACAGGCTTAAAGGAACCCCCTAGTGGGTTTGGTGGCCTCTGGACGTGGCTGTTGGGGATCGACTTCCGCCTGATGCAGGCGACGTTTCAGCGGTTCCATTTGGTAGGCCTGGTAGTACTCCGCGTGGCTGCCCAGCGGGGGCTCCTCCACCTGCTCCAGCTGCGAGGAGGCGTAGTCGTGGGTGGGCATGCTGCGGTGCCAGCCGCTCTCGTGGCTGGAGTGCACCACCACGTGCTCGGTGGCACCACCACTACTACTACCACTGTGTCCACTCGATCCCTTTTTTATACTGCCCTGCGGAGAGAAGCGTAGCGCCAACAATTTGGACCGAACTGCTCTAAGAACGCGTTCTACTCACCAGCAGCGAGATGACCAAGGCGATCTTGGCCATTATAAAGGCCGAGCCGGCGATGAGGATGACCTTGCCCAGGAACATTTGCGCCAGGGTGGCCACCATTATCATGCCGCCCATCATCGCCATGTGCTTGTCTTTGTCCTTCTTTTTGCGACCTGTTTTTTTGGAGCAGTTTTTATTTTTATTTTTATTCTTGTCTTTCTTCTTGTTCTTTTTTTTCTTAGATTTTTTCTTTTTCTTAGGCTTTTTCTTCTTCTTTTTAGACTTTTTCTTCTTTTTAGACTTTTTCTTTTTCTTAGACTTTTTCTTTTTCTTCTTCTGCTTATCTTTATCTTTATCATAGGTTGTTGCATGCACTTCGAAACTACCAAATCCTGCTATTAACTTATCCACTTTATCATCTACGCTCGCATAACTACCTTGATCCAAACCAAGTTCGCTGCCAAAATCGTCGATGGCATTCGAGATGGTCAACTGCCTTGGCAGCCGAAGTCGTAAAGCTCTTCCTTGAACCAACTCGAGTAGTTTTCCCGGCAACCCAGTATCCATTCGCCTCCTTTCCTGATTTTGTAATCCGGGCTGTGGTTCAATGCTGAGATAATCGCTGATCTGCCAAGTGCTGTTATCCTGAGTGGCTGCATCCAGCAATCGCTCGCTCTCGGAGTTCAGACAATCCCAGAGCTCCGAACCTCCTAGACAACGGGCTATGATCCTGCCCAGACTTCTGGGACTCCATTGGGAGGTGGGCGTGGCACTTATCGTTTCACTGCCATTGTGACTTAAAGCCAGGACCGAACTGCCCACCATTACGCACTGTAGCAACACCACACGCCACATATTCAAAACTTAACCAACTTCACTGTAATGAGACCTTTTTACACGCTTTTTGAACCACAAATAACCCAGGCAGTAGCTCTGCCTTCTTATTTATAATGCCTTATACTTTTCGGGGTAGCAATTAACGCGCTTGTCAAAGCACGACACCGAACTCTTGATAGGAATCAAATAGAAATGTTTTCAGAAGTTTGCTTGCTGAACCCTGACCTTTTGAAAACTGAAACCGAATTTTTCGGTTAGGTTACTTTCATTTTTGGAAAGCATTCACTACACTTGGCTACAGCTTAGATACACATAAAGAAATCATTAGGCAAATACCGATAATAAAATTCTTACAGTTACTGTTTGAGTGAATTGCCTATATAATTATTGAAGATTTGTTAAAAGTAAATTTCTCATGCATTTGTTAAATTTTTTTAAAATTATTTTTAACGTCCTTCAAATTAAAAAGACCAAACATAATTTGACAAGAATATTTATTTATTTACATAGGTACAATTACTTAACTTCATAATTATTTTACCTATTTTTCCTGTTTTTAAACGGGAACTCTTAGTTCTTAACTAGAACTTATTCATGCATATTTATACGTAAGTATTACTAATATTAAATACCCTTTGCAAATAGCTCTTACTTTTATATACAAATACTGAAATTTATTTGATATCCATGAGATCCTAGAGCGATCTCACATCGACCGCTTGCCATCCCTCCATTCCGTGGGGATCCTGAAAGTTTCTCATCAGGTGTCCTTCCTCCTGCTCCACACTGGCTGCCAAAAGTTTGTTGCTCGCTCTGCGTTGGTTTTCAAAGTCGTAAAAGCGGTCTTGAGTGGGTGGTTTTGGGTGGCTTGGTGTTGCTTGAACCGGCGTTTCTGCCACTCGCGGTTGCTCAAATCTGATTTTCCGTTCACTTCGACGGTACGGTGATGCCTCGTGCACGTCGTACTGGTGATGGAACTCATCCTGGCCTTGCCCAAATACCGTCGTTTTTCCAGGAAAGTGGCCCAATGGTCGGTGGCCGTTAAAGCCACCGAAGCCAAAGTTTGAGCCGCCGAAGCTGGCGAAATTAGCGCCTCCAAAACCGCCGCCAAGTCCTCCCAAGCCTCCCAGCCCTCCCATAATTCCTCCTAGTCCCAAAAAGCTGCTCACATATATCGCCAACTTTACCAAGAATAATGACTTCTTGAGGAGCAGACATATGCCAGCGAAAAGCAAAGGAACAAGTGCAACGAGATTGAACTTCAGGCCCAAAAGAAAGGGCAGTAAATACTGCTTAGCGACAAGACGACCTGAAAATATATTTGTAACCATTTTGTTACTTATTTAATACTTATCGTAAAAGTTTTTAAATAATGTTTTTTAAATAAATTTTTTAGATTGTTAATTTTGAAGATACATTCAAGCAACCTTTCGAAGCCAATATATTTAAAAGTATAAAATCTGCTGAACATTTAATTGGTCCATATTATAATTTAAATATTATATATACATAAAAGCTTTCCTTATGAAAGATTTTGTAGATAAATACGGTACTACGGTAAATATAAGAATATATATTTTGGATAAACTGTTAGTAAAAGTAGGTACACCTCTTGTAATGGACTTTACATTATTTGTTCCTTACCGGTTGATGGCTCCTCGAATCCGAATTGCCGCTCTCCCTGAGCAGCTCCATCCAGGACGAACTCAGCCACGCTGTTCGCATCCGCCGTGGGCCCAATTTTGAACATAAGGCCAGGATAAAGGCCGTCCATGTGCCACTCGAGACTCCGTTGACCCATTACGGCGCCAGCGTTCTCCAGAATACCACGAAAATCAACTGGATCTGTATCGAGCACATTGGCCAAAGATCTTACTGCGGGTGTTTCACTTTTAACAGTCACAAAATCTTCCACGAATCGGATATTATCACTCTCGTCCAGTCGCTGAATAAAATTTAGGGCAGATCGACCCAGGCATTCAGTTAGCTTTGGTTTCTGGGATCCACGAACACACTGCTTGAACTCGGAACTCATTCCGGAAAAATCACTGGCAATCACTTGCTGGAATCCGACCAGGAGGAAAACCATATCCAGTGGCGACATGTTGGTCAAATGCTTGGATCTCAACTGAGCCCGCTGGCCAACTGACCCTTCCGTTTTATATCCGCCACTTCTCGTTATACAATAATCAACTGGTCTTTGGCCAAAAGCAAATCTGCTCCCATTCAGCTAACGCGGTGCTTTTTGCACATGGCCCAATAACGGAAATTGTTTTACATCAACGCCAAGTGGCGGCTCTTCGTCTTCGTCTGCTTCTTATTTAAGCCGGCATGGTCATGGTCAGTGCACACGACCCAAAGCTGCGTCGACTGGTGGCCAATTTTTCGCACATCTCGGCCATTATGCAAGGGGTTATTGTTATTCCACAGAAATTATGAAATACTCGCAGGCGCCACCGTTCGGACCCCTCGGAAAATCTGCAATTACCATTGCTGATGCCAGTCTATTAAATAAACGGCGACGCTTAGAGAATTACCAGAAAAGTTCCATCGCTTACACAGAAAAACTTGAAAATTGCCGCGAGTCAATTAAGAAAACAAACAAGCGGAAAACGGCGACTGGAGATACTATTACTCATCATGGTATTAGCCTAATTTGATACAAAATAAAATAATGGAATGCCATTCCTTCAAAGATTATTTAACATTTCTCTAACATAAAAGCAAAAATACATAATAATAATAATAATGATATATTCAATGATGCAAAAATAAATAAAATAATATAAAACATATTCGTAACACATAATATAATTTAAATCATTTATTTAAAAACCTTTGAGTGATGTCTTTTAAAGTTCTTATTGATTCATATTTTATTGTTCTCTTTGTATTTAACCTGTGTATCCTTAAAATTGCTTTATCTTTGCACAGATAAAGCCCAAAGTCAATCAAAATTGCCTTTGCCAAGCGGACTTAACCATCGTAACCTCAAGCTGATGAGTGAGGAAAGTTTGTTGAGTAATTCGCTAGATTTCGAGAGGAAAACCTTTGCCTACTTGTAGGCATCGCCAGCAAAAGTTAAAACTTTGTCATGGTGATGCCAGCACGTCGAGACTTTTGACTGCAATACGAAAATCAGAAAGGTAAGCCCGCGGTCTTTGCGGGTGCGGAAATTTAAATATCCGCCGAAGAAAGTGTCTGACATCTTGACACCCTCTGTGGTCCTCTGTGGCGAACTGTGGAGTTTCCCGATTCCGCAACCGAATAAACTTTTGGGAAATTAGACTCTCCCTCCCAAGTAACATTTCCCACCTAGACAAAATTCATGGAACTTCGGCGATGGACTTATGCTTTAATCTTAGCGGTGGCTGTCGCCGAAAACTTTTGTAATTTCGCAAAAGTTGTGTTTCGTTTTATTGGGGGGCGGTGAGCAATGGCCGACAGTCAATAAATTTCGAATTGCAAAGCGCAGCGACAAAAAAGAAATTGTATTAATAAACACTTTCACCGCCAATACTTGAAATTCACGGCCAGTTGCCTGCAGTTGTTTACAAATAGTTAGCCGCGAAAAGAAGAAATACGAGGCGGCTTGCAGACCTTTTGGCCATTTTGAGCGTTTTGTCGGCTTTGGCCATTTATATTCCGAATGCCGTCGGGCCATAAATTGCAGCTTTGGGGCAACTTGGGGCAGCTGGGGGGCGTGCTCCCAGTCTGGAACTGGAATCCACGTTCCCAGCCACACACCCAATTTGTTTGGGGCGTACGTGTTGCACTGCGAGTGCAAAAAGAAAAAAAGCGGGTCGCAACTTTCATTAGATTTTCCCGAGATGCGAGTGAGTTTCTGGAGCGACATCGGATACACTTGTGTGTGTGTGTGTGTGTATGTGTGTGTGGCATGTGCAACACACTACTGACCGAAGTGGCAGTAGAAGAGGCTTCTCCTCCACGCCTGGCTGACTCAAGTGAAATCCGGCGATCTTGCTCCGTGATTTTGTGTGTCGCCCATGCAATTGATATCGCTGGCCCCCTTTTTAGCTCGACCGGTGAAAGAGTGAAAGCACTCGGCGGCGTATGAGTGATATTCCATTGAAAGATTAAAAAGCACTGAGACATCGGTTCGAGATAAATGCGGCATTTCTTTTATTGATTTTTGTTTTTAGGGGGGCTGGCTGGCCAGGGGCTCTCCTGCGCCTAGCGGCAGTTCAGAGTTAGGCAGTTTAGTTTAATAGTTTAGCTTGAGAGTTTAGTTGAGTTAAGCGTAGAGTTTATGGGCAGTAAAGCTCTGAGTATTAATACAAGAGTTGCTAAGATTAGCTTTAAAGGACGCCAGGTTTCCCCCGGCGGCAGCCCCCAGCTGCTTACTTCTATACCTATTTTCTCTGGGTTCTTGGTTTTTTTGATTTGAGTTTTGGGAATCTGGGTTTTTGCGTTGCCGCTCGGATTTTCTCAATGGCGCCTTATGTGTGTAAGCCTGGCATGAACTATGCTATACAAATAAATTAAATAAATAGAATAAGTTAGACGACGACGGCCCTCTTCTCTCCATCCTCCATCCTCCATCCGAGTATTGCACTGATGGTTGCCTCAGCATTCAGCGGTTTTTGGCAGACAGCTCATTGGCTCATTGCTCATACGCCGCGTAGGCCAGCTTGTGGGCCTGGGAATCGGCGGCGCCGGCTGGCAGCGAGCGTCCGTAGCTGTGCTCGTGCTCGTAGTGCGGGTGCGCCACCACCTCGTAGTTCTCCTTCTTGGACTCCAGCAGCTTCTTCAGCCCGATGATGCCGGAGAGCAGCAGGGCGATCTTGCCGATGACGAGCGCCTTGAAGGAGATCAGAGCCAGGAAGCCGATGGCCAAGGGCAGCAGGGCGGCCATCTTCAGCTTGAAGAGCATCAGCAGCGGCATCAGGTACTTCTTCTTCTCCTTCTTCTTGCCACGAGCTGGGGAAATATGAAAGGGAGGTGGGTGGAGGAGGGAGGGGAAAGGATCGTTGTTAGTTACAAATTTGCATTACTTTCGCTGGACCAAAGCTGACCGCTAATTAGCAACTGGAGCACAGATAATTAGCCAGCGAACAGGACCGACCGCTTTCTATGTGGCTGCGTTTAGAAATCGGAAATTACAGCCGCCGCGCACAAAAAGAAAGTAAGCCTCGCTAACTGGCTGACTAAAGTGCAATTAATAGCCAACTATCTGCCCGATAACCAGCTGCCAATGCACCGCTATGTGGCTATATGGCTCCATGGATACATGGATACATGGCTGCATGGCTACATGGCTACTTGGCATCTTGGTTACTTGGCATCTTGGCCGGCAGAGTCGCAGGATGACCCCAATTTGGCGGCAAGGTAACAGTGAAAACAGGATTTGCGACGGAGCCATCTGCCCGAGAACTGGTCGCCCGCATTACTAACCCAAATTGGCAGCCACTTGGCCAGACCAGATTGGCTGTTAATGTGCAACAGAGCTATAAGTAGATACTCACATTCCTCGAGGGCGCGCTGCATGTCCTGGATGGAGTCCTTGGGCACCTTGAACTGCAGCGTGTGGGTGCCGAAGAAGCGGGCCACGCGCTCCACCAGCAGGGAGTCCACCTCGGCCTCCCGGGCCTCCACCTCCTCGGGCAACTGCATCTCGTTGAGGGAACGACCCACGGGGATCTCGTCTGTTTTGACCAGAGCGATGCCCTCGGTCAGCCGGACATCTCCGTTCTCAGTGTCGAAGTAGTGCAGAGCTCGCTCCTTAAGGGTGGATAGTATTAGCTGGGTGGTTCTTAAGTTGAAGGAGGTGTTCTCCCCCGGTTTTCGTTACCTTCATGCACAAGACCATCGACCGCTCGCCGCAGTCCTTGACCATCTTCAAAGCGCTGGTCAGCAGGCTGTCCGCTTCCGAGGCAGCCGCCGCCGTGGAGGCAATCAATGCAAACAGGCACACGAACTTAAACATGGTTCCGGGATATTTCCTTTTTTTATTTGATTTAATATTTCACACAAACACTGGTCACTGGCTCGCAGTTATCCTGCCACTTCCTGGCGATTCGGGGATACGTGTGTTCACTTGATTGAGTGCACTGCGCTCGATTGGCGTGTTCGATCTGTCGGTCAGAAGGCAACCGGTAAACTGTGGCTAGAAGACGCACGCGGATCGAGTTTTATTCCCGGCCAGCAGAGCGGCGGCTGCGTTGGCCAGCAGCGACGACAACGGCAACACAGTTGTTGCTTCAGCGCTCTGCGAGTGGTCCGAATCCCCCACTCCCCCAATCCCCCCATTCGCCACTTCGCAGCCCCGCAATCGCACACACAGTAGCCGAGCTTAGAATTTAAATAAACAACCCGACGAACCTGGCCAGGTTGCAGCCGAAGTCGAGTTGGCCATCCAAGGCGCAGCCAAGAGACACCTGGACAGGTGCGCCGCAGTCGCAGTTCGCGGCGGCAGAGCTCATTGCCAGTTGTTGTTTGTCAACACACTTCGACGGCAGTTAGCTGTTTGCTAGCCGTTTGCCTGCCACAGGGATTGTGGCCAATTGTGTGGGTCCAATGAAGTGATCAGCGAGCGATTAAATATTGAATCTACTTGGACTAGGTCCCTTAAATTAATGTTGTACTTAGGGCGCCAGAAGAGAAAGTGATGGTAAAAAGCTCTTTGGATTATTCCCCACTCCTGAAGAAGTGATTAATATGACACAAACAAATTTGTAATGCTAAAAGCTTAGAACAGAACAAATTGATTTTAAGTACTGCATTTATTTGATTTAATACTTGGGATTTAGATTGAGGAATAATAAATGTATAACAAGACCAATTAGGACAAAATGCCAATAAGGAATTTACTGTTTTCGTAACGAGATGATTTGTAATAATTAAATGTGTAATGAGTTCCTACCATTAGCAAAGTGTAATTGATATAATAATAAACAAAAAACAATAATTACGGCTTCATATTACCATTGCTACAAGTAACGCTTAGTTAACTGATTTATTATACCCTTGTAAGTAAAATGCAAAAGCCAGTTGAACAGAAAAGCAATGTTTAGTTATCGTGATAAAATGTCTTTATTCATTTTTCGTTTATTGTAATTGTTAAATAAGTACTATTTGTGTTGAAAAAGATTGGCGTTCATTGTGGTTAACGGCTGCTTTTATGTTAGGCAAATTGTGTGTTCTTTTGTTTCAATTATTTATTACTGTTTTTTCCGGCCACTGCAAATGAGAAATACGCCCATGAGAAATACATGAATTATAAGCCAACAGCATTAGCAAGCTTACATCATGAACTAGCAATTATGTTCTTGGCCAAACCGAGTTAAGTTAGTGGGCTGCAGAGCAGTTAAGGTAATTGAGGCACCTTAGAGGCGCCACCTGATGATGGCACACTTTCAGCGGTGAGTAAATCTTGGCTGCGGCAGAAAGTGCTGCAGTGGTTTCATTTCGAACTGCAGTTACCACCACACACAGCTGGGAAATGCTGACGGGGTGGGCGGTGGGTGGTTAATCAAGAGCGCCATTTAAGATGGCCGCCGATGGTCGAAAGCAACCGCCGCTCGAATTGGAGTAAAATAGAAAATTAACTAGTTTGCTGACGCTGCGGCGGCATGGTGGAAGAAATTTCACTTTAATTTTGCTTTTTATTTATGTGTTTGTTTGTGCCTCCAGCGGGCATCTCGCATAATGTATCTGCAGTTTTGTATGCCAATCCGATCGCCATCGGCATCGCCATCGCCATCGCCGACAGTAGTTGCACAGAGAGTCTCGCACGAGAGTTTCATTGGCATTATGTCGCTTTAATTTGCAGCACTCGAAAATTGCCACACGTCGCAGCGGCTGCTTCTCGTCTCAACGCTCCACAGTCCGCAGTCCACAGTCCGCAGTCCGCATCGTCAGCCGGGTAATTTACGCATTAGACTTAGACAAGTGCCCCGAAAGAAAGCTACGCCGCAGATTTGCATGCTGCCCAAAACAACCGCACAGAAAATAAAACACAAGACTCGCATCTAGATGCAAAGCCACTCGACATTTCGAAGACGATTATCCAAAGCGGCAACATGAGCCCAAAATCCGTTGATGGAATATGTAAATGTAAATGCCTTGCACGTGGACATAGATGGATGTGACAGCCACTGTCACGCTGTGATTGTGATGTCTCCTAATGCCCTTTCAGCTAATGCCCTTTATGACTTAGACCGACTTTTTAGTGGCTTTAAAATAAATTTATACCAAATAACTTTAGTACATAAATAACATTCTTGCATATGTAATAATATTCACTAGCAAATAAAATATTATCCTAACAATTTTAAAATTATATATGGGATATTTTGTATTAATACCAATATCTGCAATCTTTTATCCCTATAAAAAATGCAAAAAAAATATTTCTTCAACCATTAAAAAAAGAGTATTGTGATGTCGACTTGATGTAGTTTGCTAAGGGCTAACTCAACATATATCTAAGCTCTGTGCGTGCGCAATGAAAGTGAAAAAGTAATTTCATTGCTAACATTTTGTACAATTTAAACTACGGCACTTCAAACATTGTGTGATGCAATATTTAAATAATCTGGGCATTCGAGTCATGGTAAAATGCTGAAAAAGGCTAGCAATCGCACACATTTTTCCACTACTCTGAAGAGAGATTTGTAATGGGATTTTAATTTGATAGCCAGGCTTGTTAGACAGATTTTATGAGCTGAGTATTTTCAGTAAATTTTTGCACTTCACTTCAATTGAGTGTGCGCAATTAATTTGCAAGCTATCTCCTGATGCCCCCCTTTCGGCCATCTCCAGTTCAGTTGGCCATTTCGCCGGCTGACCCAAATCGGCATGCGAAGTATTCGCTCTAGAGATAAAGGCAAACTTAAAGCATCGCACATTCGGGGCAAACAATCCCCAATTTCGGCACCACCCGCCCAGCCCCAAGCCCTTTTCAGTGGCATCTTCAAAATTGACACCTTTTCAAAGTTTCACTTTCATTCCGCTTGGCTGGAATGGAATTCCGGGTGGCAGCTCAGCTCAGCTCCGGCTTTGGCTTTGGTTTACAGCTCCCCGGCGCTGTTGACATGCCGCTGCCCCGGTGCGCTTGGCCAATTTTCAATTAATGAAAGTCCCGGACCGATGACGTCAGTGGCACCCACAATTAAATGGTCGAGGGGCCTGGGAACCTCGGCGGCCAGGTTCAACGTTCTACTCCGAGCAGCTCATTAATATTTCGTGCAGTGGCCCAAAAGTGAAATTGTCGCATACCAAAGAAGGTAGAAGCCACAACAATGGACAGTGAGGAAAACAGTGGAGCAAAATAATGAATATTGAATGAATGAATATTGCATTGAGAAAACGCAAGCCAACACAACAACACAAAACTGCACGGCAGACGATGTCAAATTAAGCGTTGGTGAAAGAAAAAGTAAATTCAATAGAAAATCTTATTGATATTAAATATTTCTTACCTTATTTTCTTTTAATTGTATTTTCCAGAAAGTTATAACTCTCTTATGAACAAGTACCTACAAATTCATCAATTAGTTGGAAAAAAAGTTGTATTTAAACATCCATTTATAGGTGTTATAATTTTTCTGGTAAATAAGTTTTGAATATGGTCATCTCAGATGTTTTTGTGTATTCTAGTAAGCCTTCATTCCAAATTATTTTGTTTATAATCAAGAATTTTCATTCCTTAATTACAATTTCTTGATCCATGATATCCATTTAGTTGCTACTATTTTCACCGCAGCTGTAGGTACTTAAAATATGTACCCGCCTGTAATTGAGTTTGGTAGAAAGCGAAGAAGCTTCGTCTGCCACTTTTGGCACGCACGTAAGCCAGTTTCGATGAAACTGTAATTGTTATCATAAACTCATGTTTAGGGAGCGGCCATGACACAGAAAACAAGCCTTCTTGATGCGTTTTTCGGGTAGCAGAATTTACTATATTTAGTTAACGCTTACTTAAACCTAACACACACATTTAGTTCGTTAAATTAATGATCGATTAGGCGAATTAAACTAGACATTAGTCAGACAGTTCGTGCGGCGCTCGATTCTTTGGTTCACTCTCCTCCCGACTCGATTCTCCCATCGCGAAGCTTCTCTTTTGTTTTCCCAAATGCAAATGCGAGCTCACAGGCTCTTGGCGCTTCCTTGGCCCGCCGCTTCCTTGGCCGCCGGCTTCCATCCGCTGTAGGCGGTGTCCAGCTCCCGACCCCATCCGGAATGGCCGCCCGCGGAGACGACCACCTCGTGTGAGGTCTCCTTCCCGGAGTGGGCCCCGCTCAGCAGCCGCCTGATGCCGATGATCGAGGCCAGGACCAGGGCCAGCTTGGACACGATCAGCGCCTTTCCGGCCAACATGGCCAGGGCTCCGTAGGCCAGCGGCACCAAGGTGCCGCCCAGCAGCAATGGGATCATGATCATGGCGCCGTTCTTCTTCTCCTTCTTCTTGCGACCCTCCACCGAACTTGTCTCGGAGTCGAATTTCACCTGAAAAGTATAAAATGAAGTTATATATATATCAAGACTGCAGATTAGAAGTTTACGTATATAAGTTTAGCATTTCACTTAGTTTTTGTCCTAACCCAAACTAAGCTTGACTCTAACAAAATATTTTTCTTCAGCTGAGAGTTTATAAAATGAGTTCGTAATGATTTTAACAAGTTTTTTTTCCACGCATAAATAACTAAAAATGTAGGCGAATTTTAATTATCTATAACTGTTTCACAAAACAATTTTAATCATTTATAATTTTCTTTGTTTGAAATAAATAACATTGAGGCTAATGCCATTACTTTTAGGTATATATCAATTTAATACTTGTTCCATTCAATGAAATTAAGTAGTTATTTAAGGGTTTATAATTCGTTTTCTTGTGGGTAATTTTATTCTTAGTATTTATTATTAGTATTTCTTTCTCACCTGCAGAGTGTGGTCCTGTAGGAAGTTGCCCACCCGCTTCAGGATCATGTTGTTCAGCACCTGCTCCTTGGCGTCCAGGCTCCTGGGCAGGACAGCCTCGATGTCTTGTTCGCTGATGGGAGCCCGTTTCGACTCCCCACTTTCTTCACCAGAACGAACGAACTGAATGCCCTCCGTGAGGGAGAGGGTCTTGGCCGACCGGAAGGCCTTTTCCAAGCCGGTCAGCAGCTTGACCTTCAGGCAGACGGACATGTTGTCACCGGTGCACTGCTGGTAGATGCGGTAGACCATGGACATGTCCTTCCAGAACCCCGAGGAACCCCTCGAGGGGCTGCTGGTCGGGGGCTTGGGAACCGAACTCAGACTGTTGGGATTCTGGTGCTGGTAGCTGGCACTGCGGGCACTGGAGAGCCAGCAGAAGACGATCATCAGGGCCGCCACATGCCACACGTACTTGACCATGACTCGGCTGGAGGATATTGCTGTTCGACGCTGGGCGAGATGAGGATCCTTGGCCGATCCTGGTGGTGAGGCATAAACTGGAGAGAAGACGCCGGGCGCTGCTCTTTGGGGGATCAACTGAGTGCTGGCCGGTGGATCTAATGCATTTTATACCTGTGGCTACAAATATCGCATGTCGGCCGGCTGCCTGAAATTGAAAAACACAAAAACACAGAAACACACGCTTTGTCTTAGTCTAAATATCACGGCAATTAGCCAGATGCTGTTGGCCACTGGGGCTGCGCTTTCGTGATTTCGCTGCGAAAGCCTCCGAAATGCAGTTTCGTTTGCAATTATATTCCCACTTTTCAGCTCGTTCTAAGCTATTGAGCTCCTGCGTGACTTCGACTACCGTTGCCAATGCCATTCTCCTCTGTCTTTGCATCCGACTTACTAGACCGTGGGCATATGTATTTTCGGTTTTTTCTGTCTTTGGGGCACATTCACTGTCGTCACCTGATTTGGGCCAAACTTTTCTTTTTTCCCAAGCACTTTGGAAACTGAAGGTTTTTGCTGCCTACTTTATGGTGCTGCTGAAAAAAGTGGTGCTCTTGAAACGAAAGAGTTAAGACACGAACTCGATCGCACTGAACGAAAGTAGCGAAACGATTGAAACTTCTACCATATCTGGTTTGGTGAAATGGCCAATAGGTGGCGTACGTTAAAAAATATCTTGAGTAGTTAGCGATAGGGTGTTAAAACCAAAGGGAAATATTAAATAAGAACGGGGGGTGATGTAAATAGATTTGTAATAACAGGTCTGTTTTAAAACTGGTTAAGAAGTTGAAAACTATGTCCGAAATATTTAATGAACATCACTATTTTGTTCATAAATAATTATATTTTATATTTCATTTGTAAAATTTTAATTATTATTTTTTAAGGAATTTGAAGGAAAATTTAGTTATATATCTTTATTTTACTATTAATAATACGACTTGCATTATTTAAAAGAAAGGTATGTATTTCCATTTTTATTTTAGTTTTGTGTTTCTTGGCTTAACTTAACTGTGAAAAAACATAAGTTAATTTAAAGTGTAATTTTTTCTGAAAGTCTTACATTAAAAGTAGCTTAGTGCACCGTTTGGGTTTTAAAGGACAAGGCCCAATTATGGGCGCCAAATTTGTTCAGCTCGACTAAACACTTGACCGCTTACCGCCTAACAGCACGACAATGAAAACCACCCAGTACTCTTTCTTCACCTGCCATGCAAATTACTCTGCTAATCAAGTCCTCACGCAATGTGCAACATAACCGCTGTGGCGATGCAACGGCCGTTCGATAATTACGAGCGATTGTTGCTAACTGCACAGCGTAATTTAAATTGACCACAAACGACCAACAGTGGAAGCGGCAGCAAATCAGGCGTGGCGGTAAAACGCTCGAGTGGCCGAAACTGTTTCACGGCTTTGCGGGGCTCGTGGCCAATTAACTTTCAATTAATCAAAACAAACGAAAGCTCGTAAGTGCGCCCAGTTGATTTAATGGCCGGTGAGCAAAACTACACCAGCAATTGGTGTAATCGTGGATTCAGATGCGTGCTTTGTCTGTCGAGCAGCGAGTGTGGGAAAAACGTGCTGGAGCGGAAAATTATGGCAGCGGCAGCGGCAGCAATGCCAAGTGCCTAATAATATTATTAGCCGGGCAGGCTTTCTGGCTCTTCATTTCGTTTATTTTCCTTTTTTGCGGATATTTTTTTCTGGTTTCTTGCCGTCGTTTTGGCCGTCTTGAGCTGGAAAGCGCAGTGCTGCAAGGCCGACAATCAACTTTGGCTTCGGGACCGCCCCTGGTTGTTGTCTACGTTCTGGTGACCTGCTTTCGGTGCCCAAACTCGTTTTCATTTCGTTGAGCATTATTCTGCACACGCTGCGACGACGCCCTTGCAGGCATCCATTCGCATTCGCATTCGCATTTACTCGGCTAAAGCCCCACATAACCCCCACCGCCCCCGCCCAGTTGACAGTGAAATTGCTTTCAAATTGGTCACTCTGCTCGGTTCTCCTTCGCAGCCTTGTCCCCTCCTTATGAATTATTGCAAATTTTGTGGTTTCTTATCTGGTTTTTCAGAATGTGAAATTGGTGGCGATGCAGCTGGTGGTGGTGGTTTCGGTTTTGGTGCTGGTGGTGGTGGTGCTGCAACAGAGTGCTGATGCTGCACCAGTTTGGCTGCCACCGAGGCGGCATTTCTCTAGCGGCACGACCGTTGCTCGCTCCAAATCACTGAGCCGGGCTTTCGTTTTGGTTAGTCGATTTGCATATACTACTATGTTTAGCAGCAGCGGCTAACGAAATTTATCAGTATCGAAAATAGGCTGGGTGGCAGCCCAGGAACGTAAACAATTTTGTAAATCGTTTGTGGATTAAATTATAATATACACGACACAGAAATTAAATTAATTAGTTTGAAATTGTTTTGTAATTTCAAATTGATTTGTGAATCACTATTATTGAATGGTTTCAATCTAAAAAAGAATCTAAAAAATGGCATTAAAATTTAAAATGCATCGTTGAAAGAAAACTTTGCTTTAGAGATGAACTGGGTGTTTAATTTACTTTAATCTTAACGGCTTCACTTTCTAAGTCCAATTTATTCAGGAACCTTGTTCTTAAAGCGAACAATCAAACGACAACCAATATCAGCTTTCTGACACTTTCCATTTAAAGCAGAAAAACCCCGGAGTTGAGAAGCAAGCATAAACCCATGTTAATCTCCTAAACGGGTACTTTTTGAATCTTGGCAGATTTTGGTGGCACCAAGCGGTCTCTTTGAGATAATTTCCAACCGAGCGTGGCCAAAAAATTTCCGTAATTTCCTTTTGATTAAGTGAGCGGCGTCCGCCACAGAGAAGACTGACAGTGGTCAGTCAATGTTTGCTCAAGCTTGGCAGCTGCTCAAATGAGTTGTTAACATTAATGCGCATTAACCTGTCTTTTGTTTTCGCCGGCCATTCGCTGGGCAGCAGCAAAAGAAGCAGCAACGGCAACGGCCACATTTAGAGCGGGTTGGAAAACGCTTTTTGGTCTTGGCCATGTGCCACAATTTCTAAGACTTTTCACTGCAATCGCTCTTGTTTGGCTTTGGGGGCTTGTGGCCCGAGCTGCTGTTTCGGTTTCCTAACTGTTTACTTTCACTGTCGGTGGCTCATGTTGCTTTTGTTGCTGTTGTTGCTGTTGTTGCTGGTGTTGCTTTTGTTGCTGTTGCTGCTTTTGTTGCGACGTCGGAAGCCAGCGGGGTTTATTGGGTTTTCGTTAACCTGTCTTGGCCAGACCCCAGAGCCCAGTCATAATTATTTACACCTATTAACGGTCAGATCTTTGAAATTCGCTGGGGCAACTGGGTCGCAAATCAATTTCACTTGAAATGAAAGCATTTCGGCCCAAGATGGACTTGTCAACGGCCAGTTTTCGTCTTCGTCTTCGTCTTCGTCGATTTGGAATTATGCATAAAGCTTTCGGTTTTGTCGTTTCGCTTTCACCCCATGGTATGCCATAAATTATAGAGACTTGTCTTGATTTTTCATTGATTTTTTATTTATTAATCTTCCTTGCTTGTGTTTGTTTTTTTTTTCAACTTTTTTTTTTTTTTTGTGTGTTGTTTTTCATCATTTTCTGTTAATGACATGCATGTGTGACAGAGAGTGGGGTATTATTGTAGTCTATGGAATTTACATTCTTTTGTGAGTGAGTTTTGTGATCTGTGTGAGTTGCCCACATCTGCAGCTTCACGCTTCTTCTTCTTTGTCGTCGTTGTCATCATCATCATCTTACTACTGTTGCCGGATTTATAGTTGTGAAAGCGCCGTACGACTTTGCTTAAAATATTTAAATTAAAGTAGACGACGTGCTGGCGACTCGAAACTTGCGCCCGTTGGCTAGAGAGCCCTCCAAATGTCATAAACAAGCCATTTTTAAGTTGATAATTAAAAATCTGTTTAGGTCCACGGAGCAGGAGAGCCCGACGCCAATCTGAACGGCAAGCGGTTCGAGTCGCGCGGATGCATAAAGTACGCTTAAGGAGTTAAATATTAAAAAAAATATTTTTAACATTACAGGGAGTTCAGGTGAGTGCGTAAGTGTGTGTGAGTAGCGGGTTTATTTTGTATGAGAAAGTAGAGCGCTAGAAAGTGACAGATGCAGGGGCAGCATACTACGGCGGAAAGAGATGGCAGATGGCAGATGGCAGATAGGAGAAATGAGAAAGTTGAAGAGTCGAAGTGGAAGTGGAAGTCGAGTGGCGAGTGAGGAAATAGTGGCTCGAAGGTTAAGCCGGAAAATGAGTTCAGTTTGGTGCGGCGTACGTGTGTTTTCGGATTCCTATGGCAAGTGATGGCATGCGAATGACCAAAACTGTGGCTCACTTGAAAATGAAGGATAGTTCGGAGAAGATATAGATATAAAGTTTAGGAGCACAGGATAGAGTTAGAGCTAGTGGAGTTAAAGCTAATAGTAGACATGCGTGTTGCTGGTGTTGTGGTTTGGTAAGACTAGAATTGCATGTGAAGAACATAGTTGAAAAGGCAGAAAGTAGAGTACAGAATAGAGTACAGATACATAGATTGTAGAGTTAAGATTTGTACGTTGCAGCGATTGCATGGCAATCGACTGAGTTTTGGTATAGGCAGTATACAGTGTTAGATTGAACAGATAGAACAGTTTGATAGGCATAGAAACAGATGTAGATGTAGATATAGATATAGAGACAGGCAGATGAGAGTGCTTTAGATATAGATGCAGTTGAGTTCGGGGAAGTGCTGTGCGAGCTTAGACTTAAGGCTGAGTATTTGCAACTTGTGGGGAACTCTCGCTGGCGGCTCTTTTTACAAACTTAACTTTAGCTCCATCAGTTTTAACAACTAACATATATGGTTCTGATTCTGGTGTCTGTCTTGTTTTGCTTTGCTTGTTTTGTGTTGGTTTGTGATTCTCATTCTTTTTTGCTTTTCGCTTTTGCTTTTCGTTTCATTGCTTGGAGAAATAAATAAAATAAATTAAGTTAATAAATTAATTAAAACGAACGATAAATAATGTGTGTGTGCTTTTCTCTTCGAGAGTCTCGGGCGAGCTCTGCAGCTCAAGTTGTGTGTGTTGTTCGTGAATCTTCTTGGTTCTTCTTGAGTGGTTTTGCGGTGTGCTGGTCCCATTATGGTGCTGCTGGTGACTTAGGCCTGGACGGGCTTCTGGGCACCGTAGGCCAGGTCCTGGGCGTCGATCGAGCGTCCCCAGCCGCCGTGGCCGCTGCTGCCGTACGAAGCGGAGGAGGCTCCGGCATCGGCGCTGTACCCGCTGCCGTACGAGTCGTGGCTCGTCGAGTGGCTGCTGCTGTGGTGCGGGTGGGCAACCACCTCGTAGGTCACGTGCTTCTCCTGCGACAGCAGCTTCTTCAGGCCGATCACGGCGGAGAGCACCAGGGCGATCTTACCGATGAGCAGGGCCTTGCCGGCGATCAGAGCGATGGCACCGAGGAGCAGGGGCAGCAGGGCGGCGGCCTTCAGGGCGACGAGGGCCAGGATGGGTCCCAGGATCTTGGCGGCCTTCTTCTTCTTGCCACGGCTCTCCTCGGGAGCGTTGGGGTCGTTGGATCCGAACAGCGACTCGGAGGCGTCCTCGAGGGCACGGCCCGTGGAGCTAACGGCCTGGACGATGTCGGCGCCCTTCAGCTCCACCTTGATGGTGTGCGAGTTGAGGAAGCTGCTGATGCGGTTCAGGGCCAGAGACTCGAACGACTCGTCGCCGGAAATGGAGCGGGCGGCCTCTTGCTGAGGAGCGTCCGGGGAGCGGACCACGGTTACACCCTCGGTCAAGGCGAACTGGTCGCGGGCGCCGAGGACCTTGTCCACGAAGCTGAACAGCTTGTACTTGACGCACGAGACAGAGTCCTTGCGCAGGCAGTCGCTGTAGATGCTATCCATAATGTCGTTCTCGCCGCCGATGGCGTTGCGGGCGTGGCCGCGCGTCTCCTCGGCGGGAAGGGCGGCGCTCAAGGCGACCAGACACAAGACACCGAAAGTAACTTTATGGCTTGCCATTTTGCGTTTGTTGTTGGTTTGGTTTTTTTTTAGTGTGGTTTGTTCTTGCACGATTTTCGAATTGGGTTCTTTGGATAGTCCTTTTGTGGGTCCACTACACTTTCACGTAGTTCGGCGGCGAACGCACTTTCTCTTGAGTGGAAAACTGTATTTTTGTGTGTTTTTCGGTCTAGGCTGACTGCTGCTGCCGTATAGCTGCTCAGACGGTTAAGGATTGAATGATACAATTTTCCACCGCACACGACAATTTATATACGGCGGCAGTGGCAGCGACTTCGGCATCGGCATGCTCATCTGCTGCGAAAGCATTTCTCTGTCCCCCACCAACCCCCTGGCCCCCAGCAGCGGTTCCCCCAAACTAGTCGTGCAAGTTTCTCGCTTAAGTCTTTCGTTTGGCCGGCCAACGGTAATGCGCAGTCGACCGCTGCGTCGGCGTCGACGCCGGCAGCGCTGCAGCGACAGCAGTGCCACTAGCGGCAGCTGGAAAAGCATTGTTACTGTAATTTGTAAGCTGTTGCTGCCGCTGCGCTGCTGCGCTGCTTTCGCCCGAAGTTCATGTAACATTGTCAACAGTCGCAGCCTCCTGCCGGTGGGAAACCAGCGAAATAAACAGCATCCATCCATCCACTGGCAGCTACTTTTACCGCCGCGGCGGAGAGCGGTCCAAATGTGCCGAAAATCGTAGTCGTAATCTTAATTGTCCGGGCTTTAATTGAAAATGAGTTTTGTAAAAGTATGTAAAAGCATTTCCCTTTCAAGCGCAGTCGAGCGCTGCCGGCGAACGGTTCAGGTGAACAGAACGCTAGTTTTGCATATCCGAAACACTGATTTTAGAGAAACTTAACTTGGAAAGTATTTTTAACTATAAATAATTTTAAATTCAGAAATCCTTAACTTTTCTTTTTTATATATTACAACACATCTTTAAATTGTAGTAAAGTTAAAATTTTCATGTTGATATTCAACAAAAATACTTCTTGTAATTTGAACTGGTGTTTCTTAAACGGTACGTTTTTACAACAACTAAATATTTTAACTCCCTAACGTTGGGAATAAGGTAGGGAACTATCATAAACACAAATACAATATATTGCTATGTTACAATTTATTTACTTAAACTTAAACTAAATAAGCCATTTTAATAGTTGCTTAAACTAACTATTACTTTTACTATTATTATTAAGATATTTTTTAAAAAGAACTGCCCAATTGTTAGACCTTAGAATTTCATGATTTGGCCATTGCTACGGTATCATTAATCTAAAAGAAAAGTGACATTTATGGCACATGCAAGACAAGATGCTAAGGAATCCAAGATGACAATGACAAATTGATATCGGTTATTTTTTCCCCGGATGTGTGTGAAGTCATTATGTATTCGGAATCGCACCCGATCACGTTCTGAGGGCAGAGAATCTATGTCAAAACTAAGTCGGCGACCAGAAACCAATGGCAGTGACAGTGCCAATAATAATAATCATAACCCCATTCAGAAAAGGGAAAGTCGCGGATACATCAGCGAGAAATGTGTGGTATGCGGTCTGCCCTTCTTTCCGATGGATGTGCAAATTTTATGCGCCGTCAAATGGATGGGGCCAAAACAAACAGCTGCCATGGCTAACTGGCTAACTGACTAACTGGCCAACCACACGAGTGGCGTCCAGCAGGCTGAGTTATCGACGGGCAAACACCAGTAGCCCGTCCCACGGCTGTCCCCAGCCAGCCAACTAAGTGACTGACTAAGGCGACTAACTAACTGGATGGGACAGGTAAAAGTACGCAAATAGACAGTGACCAGGAGCCCAGGCAAATGAAAGTCATCTTCTCATCCCCGGGCTAGAGAGTTTGGAAATGCGAATGCGAAATGCAAAATCCAAAATGCGAAATGCGAGTGGATCGCTCGCATCGGATAGCGGCAAATGACCGCGAGCAGGATGCGAGTGCCACGGCGCAGACCCCACGAAAGTGTTGAAAATAGTTAATTAAAGTGTTATGGATGTGTGAAAATGCAATGAAAATGCGCTTATGAATTGGGCTTCAGCACTAAAGAGGAGAGCGGTGTGAAAACGCTATTCCAGATCGGCCAAAGCTCAGCTCAGACAATCTTGTCTCAGTGAAAGCGAATTTCGTATGCATCTCTTGGCAGGGAACCTCCACGCATTGCGTGAATCTCTGACTGCAGTTCACGGAAAGAAAAACCTGCGAAGAGAACTCGTTGAAAGCTAATTTGGTGGAGTTTCGATCGTTGCTTTTTAATTGTCAACAGAAATAGCTTGGAACACAATACCCGTTTTCTTTTTGTTACTAAAGTACACTCAATACAATACAGTTCAATCTTATAATCAATATTTGCTATTTGGTTTAAACTGGAATAAATACGTTACCAAAAGATAATTTTCTTTTTATAGAAATATTTTAACAATATGTACAATATGTACACCAACCAATTTCGACTTAAAGAAGTACACATATAAATTGTACATTTTTATTTACAAAATGCGCAACGGTGGTAAAAAAAATGTTTTTATGATTACAAATTAAATATTAATTGAACTTACTCCACGGAGCGTGAAGGGATGTAAATGTGATCAAGCGCTGAATGTTGAGTTATTTGACACTTAATTAATTTTTGTATTCGCTGTCTTGGAAGCTGGGAGTCGCTGCCTTGCAGAAAACATGAGAAACGACACTTTCACTGCATTGGCCCCGCAGACCTCGAAACCAAGTCCCCGCCCAAATGAATGGCCACCTTTGCAGCTGAAACCCAGAGTGCATCGCATCGGGATTGGATAAGGCCTGTGAACCGCTTTTTGTTCTATTGTTGTGGCTGGCCATATCAACAGGTAACTTTTTGCTTTCGTCTGGTTAAAATGAAGAGTAAAACTCATAACAGCGCAACGGGTTTCAGCTGCAGACCTTAAACGCCGAAATCTGTGGCAGTGGAAAAGAGCAGAGCAGAGCAGAGCGGAGCGGAGCGGAGCATGAATATATGTATATATATGTACTTATATTTTATTTATATCGCAGTTGCCATTGTGGCTGACACTGCAGCAGTACACAAAAAAAGAAAGTTCAGGCTAAATTTTCCTTTTCCATTATAGACAACAACATTCACTGAGGCGGCGCGTGCAGCTCTGCAGCTGGAAAATGCAAGCCAACAAACTTACTGACTCAAAAAGTGCATGAATGAACGACCGAACGGATGACGAAGTGAGTGCCGGACCTAGCACTCCCAATTGCCATTCCCATTGCCATGGCCATTACCATTACCATCACCATTACCATTACCGTCAGGTGGGTGTTGACATACACCGAAACAAAAAATGACAACAGACTCCCACACTGCCAATGATGGTACTGACGGCACTGCAGTCAATCACGGAGTGAAACCGCAAAACAACCTGCAACTGCCACTTAATATCTTTATTTTGAGCATACAGAGCGGCAACATTGAGTCAAGTGGGCGTCATTTATTTGGCCCAGTTCAAAACAAAAAAACTGAAAACCCCAAGATGAGTGGAGTTTTTAGTTTTTCTTGAAAAGTCGTTATTTAGAAAAAGAAATAAGTATAAGTAGAAAAAGTATTTTTTCAGAGAAATAAGTAAGCTTTAAAAGAATGAATAGAGTGTATTATAAAAATGCTCAAATTAATAGCTTTTTAACAAAATGCATAGCTTTTAAACTTTTTTAAAAATGATTGTGACTTTTGACTGGTTTCTTTTAAGTTATGCGTTTTCTTTAGATGCAATATTTTCGGTTTTTTAAGTAACTGAATTTATGCAGTCAAGTGACTCATCAGTTTGATAGGCATATTTAACTTGGTACTTAACGCAGCAATTGACAACACTTAATTTTCACACAAACACACTTAACCAACTTTAAAAACATGAGTGGAGTTTCCAACTGCGGGTAGCCGTCAAATACAGTGGTAATTGACTTTCTTTGTGCCGTTTATTGCAGTGTAAATGTGAGAATTTTCCAGGGAGGAGGTTTACGACATAGTCGTAATGCCCGAACCTGCGTCTAAAGATGCAAGCTCACTCTTACTCACTTATGACCGCCTTAATGGCCCACTGTCTGCTGGAATAATAGGGAGTTTGGTTGGCCGCCCTGTCATGGGAACAGCGGCCTAAGCCCCGCGGCGCAGGAAAAGGTCAGATCAGACAGACGCAGGCAAATTAGCGGTCTGTGCTGTAATCATTTAGCTGAAAAACCTGCCACGCCCATTAGCATAACCGCCGAGCAGGCCCACCTGGCAACCGCCGCCGGAGATACAAATTATAAATGCACGAGTCCGACTCGAAATCGGAATCGGAGGCATCACTTTCACTTTCCGTGGAACGCTAATATGCATCTAGCGAGCCAAAATCGAAAACACAAACCAAAAATAAAACATTTATGGATATGGCTCACACTCGAAATTATCTAATTCAGCGGGCATAATCAAAACGGTAAGGCTAATTCCATGACGCGATGACGCTGTCGATGGCATCCATTGCGAAATCGGAGCACGGATGTCTCGGAGACATTTTCAAGTCCACACGTAGGGCATATTGACTATATTGACAGGTAGACTTCATTTACTTAATAATGCTTCCAAAGTTAAACAAAATTGTTGGTAAATGGAACAAATTTAATTGAAATACGTTAGTAGCGGGATATTTAAAAAATTATTACGAGATCACTTATTAAATAAAAGAGTGTATATTTGTTTTGTGATACTTTAACTTCTACTTACATTAAGTAAAAAAAAATATAATTGTTAGCTTGTAAATATTTGATTTAACATAAGTATATATAATATTATTCATTAAATCGAAATCCAACTATAAAACTTTGTAAGTCTTTCTTAAAAGTAGAGAGTGTATGATTAATGCGGAGCTCGGTGTTCGTGATGTTTCCATTTCTTGTTTACTGCAGCATTTATTTAATAATTTATTAGCGTTTGTTTTTCTTTTCATTTTTATGTAATTTCTTCGCCGTTTAATGCCGCTTAAATTGAATAATTGATGGCAAAGTGTAAGCAAATCACGTCACAGCGCGGTGCAAGGAGAGCAGGAGTCGCCGGCGGCGGTTAAAATTATATAACGCGTGAAAAACTTTTATGGCCCTCGAGTGCAGTTGTGCGCTGAAATTTGTTCAAAAGCACATACCACAGAAAAGTCACCGCCATCGCTTTCTTTCGAAAGAGAAAGGGTTTCTCCTTCTTGCCTGAGAAACTTGCCGAAATTGCATTTTTTATTACCCGATCTGTGGCGGCGCACGTGTGTCCGTCCCCAAGCCCTTTCGCTTTTTCTTCGAGGATACCGTTTACAGCTTACAGCTTGTGTTTTAAACTTGATTTCTTGGGTGCCCCCAAAGTTCCAGCTTCCGCAACTTTCACGCAATTGCTGCGGCAGCAGAAAGAGCAGAAAAAGCAGCACCGCCCTTGTGTTGCTGGATGCTGTGTGCCCCACTTTGCGGCATAAATAATGCAACGATTTCGTGGCCCCAGGGGCAACCTTTGCGATCGGAGCGACCGATCGTATGATCGTATGATGCGATCATTGCATTCTTTAAAGTGAAACTTCTGTGACCGCCGCATGGTCATTGCGCTGATGATCATTCTTGTACCGCTTTTGTTTCTTCTACCACTCTTTATTTATTTTTTTGGTTTTTTGTTTTTAATGGCTGCTCAAAACGACGCTGTTAATTAAATTAAGGCAAATAAAAAGGCGCATAACCAACTGGTTCGCAATGAATGCGGAGGAAATGCTGGCAAGTGAATAAAGAAGACAATGTGTGTGCGCTGGCATTGGGAAACTTTCTTCTTTTGCTTTCGATGGTATTTCGGTCAGAAGCCACCGAGAGGAATGATGATGACGATAATGACACGCTTAAGTTAAAGCCAAATCAAAGGCCCTTTGGCTCGACTCGGCCTCGAACCGATTGATAAAACGGTGTTTCCGGTTGACCTGCTACCGCAAAATCTAAGAAATGGCGCCCAACGAAGTGGAGCGAACTAGCGCCCAACGCAGTCAAGCAAACTGGAGTGCCTGGCCAAGTGCGATATGGCCAATTAAAATCAATAATTAAGGCCTATTGCTCTTGAAAGCCCACACCGAAGCAGCGAATCATATTCGCCAGATGAAAGTACTGAACAACAGTTTGCAGAGTGCTGAGCTGCGAGGTATGAGCTATGAGCTATGAGCTATGAGCTCTGAGTCAAGTGTCAATGTCCAGTCCACTTGATGGTTTTTCGTCACGACTGCGGCGCAGCTTATGCGATGACGATATTAATAATGAAATGTGCATGCTTTTTGGCAGGAGCAATAACAAAAAATAACAACTGCAACAACAACAACCCGAACAACAGCCGCTCGAAAACAACTTGAGTGAAAGTTTTTTGCTACGGCCGCAAAACTCACTCTCCGTACGAGTATTTATGTATGTCCATGGCCACAAGTGCGAATGCGAATTGAACCTGCGCCCCTACAAAATACTCGAAAAATCCCATTAGAGCTGGACAGCTGCCGGTCCAATGTCCAAAATTACACTTTAGCCGCGTCTGTTTGCCATTGTCATTGTTATGGCTTATTGTTACAGCCATTGTCGCGGTGTCCCCAGTAATTAGTAATTAGTGTGCCGAAAGAAATTCGTTCGCAAGATGCCCAGTTCCCAGGAGCTGGCACGGGTCACCAAATGAATTACAGCGACACTGGAAAATTTCCCACCTGACCTGAGCCAATACTTTCCGCCGGGCCATTAATCATAATGTGTCCACTGCGGCGGATGTGGTAAAAACTCGGATCCACTCTCTTCTGCACCTGGTGCATCCAATCGACGCTCTATCAATGTCACACATTTGCTATTTCGACCCTGTACTGCGGTCATTGTCCATTAAGAAGCGTGTGCCTGAAATTCAAATGACATCGGTTGACATTCAGGCGGGGAAACCGAACGAACGCGGGACTATGCGGCGTATGCGTAATGGCATTGTTTTATGGGGAATTTTTGGTGGACGAGAAAATGTGGGTGATAGGTGCAATTACGAAGGTGTCCCAAAAACTAATCGACATTTAATTTTAAATGGGCTTTCATCAAATCGTTTGTTTTTTTTTGTTGTTGTTTTTTTAACCTCTAGCTATTATAAACTTTGAAGCCACAGAACCAAATTTGTGTTTTAAATATTCATTTGAAATAAACGAGCGCGGGATTTTGCGGCGTATGCGTAATGGCATTGTTTTGTGAGGAATGTTTTTGGCCCATACAAAGTGGACGATACGTGCAATTACGAAAGTGTTCTAAAAACTATTTTACATTTCATTTCATATAGGCTTTAATTAAATGTTTTTTTTTTATGTGCTTGTAACCTCTAGGTGTAATATACATTCAAGCCGCAGCAACTAATTTATGTTTTAAAAGGTAATTTAAAATAAATGCTGTGCATTAACGATTCAATTTAAATTTGTGGGATGCATAAATTTCATTTTACTGCGGGCATCACTGAAAAATATGAACACATTTGTAAACCTTTTTCCTAGTCCTGTAGGCCAATATAACAAATACACAGCCGAATTGATTTTTTTCTTAAAAAACAACTTGTCTTTGTAAATTGTTTTAAAGTTTATGTTTAACTATTGCCTTTAAAATTACCAGTAATTCAAGCCGCAACACTCTTTTAATTTACAGGAATCGTTACAAAATCGATTTAAGTCTACAATGTGGTTTTTCAGCCCCAGGAGCCCCTTGCTGACCCAATCTCGTTTTGACCAATAAGATACAAAATTGGCCTGCAGGCTGCAGCCATTTCCTTTAGCTTCTTCTCCTGTCGCCTGTCATCCGTGGCCGGGCCAAGGAGCAATAACTTTGCCGGCCAAAAACGACCATACTTATGTATGAGAAACTGTAAACTCTTGAGAAAGTGAAACTTTTTTCTTGTGACTTTTTTAATCTTTCCGATTTATATTGCGCCTCACCCAAGGCGCTCGCAGCTGCCCAATCGCATTCGATGCTCGTCATCGATATGTCGATGTAACTGAGTGAGTCGCCCCGCTTTGTCTGCCCGGCGGTTTGGCTTTATCGCAAGGCATAAATCGAGCCAAAAACGGATATGGCCAGCACTAAAAAACAACAGAAAAGAGCGAAAAAACAAGCAAAGTCGAGCAGAGCAGAGCCGAGCCCAAAGTCACCGGCACTTTCTTCGACTCGTTTAAGAGCAGAGAAAGAAAATATTAAGCATATTAAGCAATATTTTTTTTTAGATTTAGTTTTGTTTTTTAACAGAGGATAGTATGCTGTAAGAATTTTGTAATTAATTTCTTCAACACAATACAATTTTTGTTTTTTTCTTTCATTTATTCGAGTTATTTAAAAGTAAAATTAGTGCATTTATTAAAGAGCAACGCAATGTATTTATAAGTATCATCCGTTCAAAAACGTCATAATTTTAAAGGACTGATTTAGGTTTTAAGTAATACGTATATTTAAAAAAAAGGATTATCTCTTGGCACTCGATATTCTTATTTCGATTTTTTTTTAAGTTTGAATATAAATTGATTTTTAAATTATTTAAATACACAAAATATTATTTGAAAATTTAGTTTTTCCCGGAAAAAATTATTAAAAGTAAACAATAGCTTAATTCGGATTTAAAATGTAAGCAAATTAAGCAAATATATTCAAAATCTGTTAAGTACAAATTTTTTCTTGTGTGGCTGCAGACTAAGAAATGTTTGAAATTGAAAATCGAAAGACTCGATTGGAGTGCAACAACAGCAACTGGCAACTGGCAACTAGCAACCGGTATGGAAATAAAAATAGTTCGGCTTGGACTTTGAGCGCGTGGCAGCCAAAAGCAATGGTCTGTCACAGCCACAGCCGCAGCTACAGCCACAGCCGCAGCCGCAGACATGGCCAAAGCCGAAAAAGCCAAACAAGAGTCCGGCTTTAATTAATTGTCAGAGGGTTGGGCTAGATATTTTGCTGAATGAATGGCTGGCACGGGTCGGGATGGCTTCGACGAATGGGTCCCACCTCCGTATCGATGGCAACCCATCTCATTTGGCCGAGAAATTCATTCGGGTCTCGAGTGGCCAAGTAGAGAAAGGTCTGACCCACATCAGGTGATTTCCAACCCTTTAGGTATACAATGACTTCTAATTGAGATATTTAGTGTTGCTCCAAATCCCAGGCTCACATACTTCTATATAATGCCGCGACACGATTCGGCGGGGTTGGCCAATCAGCATCAAAAAGTGAGCATAAAATTGACTTTTATGCCTGCTTTTCTAGCGGCTGAAAGTCTAATCATTATGGGACAGAAGACACAATACAATACAATGGAGCAGACAATCTGAAGAAAGATGATGAAGATCATGACAACCGAAAGCCATAAGAAAAATAATCGTAAAAGTGAGAGTTTCCACTTCATAATCAGTTTTAGCCGCGGCTTGCCATTTGACTTCGGATTCAAGTTGCCTCTTTCCCTCCCTTTTCACGGTATCTACGGGCAGTATATTAGCGGACCAAAAGTGCCGAATCATGAAATGCAAATATCCAGACACGCCTGCATTGTGTAATAGCCAAAAGATCGCGGAACAAAAAACGAAAGCTCGGGGAAAAAATCGAAATAGAAATGGGGGCGTGGCCAGGGCCGCATTAATTGCTCAGGTTTCACTTTCATGGCACTTCAATTTCGTTTCTTTACGAAAATTTGTCATTATCGTAATTATGATCGAGCCAGCGAGGAAGCATTTCACTTTCGTTGTCAGCGTTTTGTTCTTTTGTGTTGGCCCAAACGAGCGGCTCTCCATTAAACGGGTTTGGTTCCCTCGTTCGCTGATATGTTGACAATAAAGCGGCAGGCCGACAACTTTCACACATCAGCCGCGGCATTGTGCGAAAAGTTGTAAATGCCACTTGAACGCTGCTGAATGACACTTTTACTGCCTTTTGGCCCAGGCCCAGATTCAC